CTTGTGTGCAGACAGACACGTGGGGGTGAGCCCCCACTCCTGGCTCTGCCTTTAGAAAGCAGAGGGGCTGCCCAGAAGGAGAGTCTGGCACAGGAGAAGCCCTTGTGGGTAAATGTGGGGAAGAGAGGATGGACAGGTGGCTTTGGGAATCTTGGGGGCAACTATAAAAACCGCCAGGACGGTGACTTTCAGCAAGAAGAAGGAATGGAGATGTGAACACAGCCTGCTACATGAGCACAAGTCTAGGGCCTTCTCCACCCTGTGGCAGAGGCCGTGAGCCTTTCCAAGTCTCTGGGGTCTCCCTCCAGCCCACACAGCTCAGCTCCATGTCCCTGCCCTTCTGTGCAGCTGGAGTGCCACAAGAGCAAGTTCTAGCCCACTGTGATGTGCTCCACTCCTAGACGGAGTTCATAAACCTCGCTGTGCATGACCCTCCACACTCCATCCCTTCTGTCAGCTGAATTCCAGTCTGACAGGTGGGCTTGGTACTCCAGGTGGACGACAGGGCAGTCACAACAGTGGGGACCTGGGTCTCTGTTTTCTGAGAGCAAATTCTCCTAGAGGAGTACCTGAGCAAGAATGTCTGCCCCAGACTCTGCAGGGTATGGAAATAGGTGTCTGCCATTGGACACACATAGCGGAACCTTTGACACATATTTTGGGGTTTGTTTGTTACATCAGTGGATGTGATCTTAACCCACAGGCCAAAACTGCCCTGCCGCCTGTGTCTAAATGAAGTTTTACTGGGACCTATTCTGTGGCCGCTTTCAGACTATAACGGCAGAGCTGATTAGTTGCAACAGACCATTTGGCTTGCAGACCCCAAAGTATTTATTGCCGGGCCTTTTGCAGAAAGTGTTCATGGACTCCTGCTTTACCTAACAAAACAGGCATTTGCTAATCGCACAGCCAGTCTCTGCTGTTCTCCTGGCCAATAGAATTGGTTTCTTTGCACAGAACAAGGTCTTAGGCTCCGACTTCTGCTCTGACTTGGGTTTTGCTCCTCTGACCCCAGGCCTTGGCACCCGTGGGTTTTGTGAATTAGATCCAGGGATGGACAGAACGGTTAGTGCCAATCACTCTGTAGCCTCCTCTATAGTTTTCTCTGATCTTCTGAATTTAGTCCAAGTCCCCGACTGTTCATATATGAAAAGTGATACCCGGCAAGAAGGGAATAGACTATCCCGTAGCTATGTGGCCAGAAAGCAGTGGAGAAGTCCCAGAAAGAAATTTGGTGATGGTGATGGTGGGGCAAATGAACTGCTTCCTGGGTGAAAGTAGCAAAAGTTTATGGAGCACTTGCTAATGGGGCAGGCATAAGTTCACTCCTTCTAGCAAACCTCAAGAGGTAGACTCACTCAGTTGTCATCACAGTCAGCCCCATTTTACAGATGAGGAAACTGGGGCCCAGAGGAAATTTGCCCATGGTCCATCCGGTAGTGACGCTAGGATTTGAACACAGCTCACAGCCCATTCTTACTTCTGTCACCATATTGGATTTGTCATCCTGGCTCAGTGTGAACCGTGGAACTCTCCACTAATCAGCACTGAAAGAAAGAACAGGCCCAGGTACACAGGTGGTTTTTTCTACAGCTCCTCCTCTGCGGTCCCGTCTCTCTCTGATCTCAAACCCCAGAACGGTTCATCAATTTTGTTTGCATATCCACCTTGAAACACTGTCATTTCATTAGCTCAAGAGAGGGGCTCTTCATACGAGGTTGAGCTTCAATAATTCTCTTTAAAGTTATGGAGAAATGTATGCTTAATTATATTTGCATATGAAAAATAGGGTCTAATTAGTTTGATTGATTATTATTTTAACCCTAATGGCATTTTGAGTATCTGTCCCAACTAATAGCAACTGTATCACTAATAAATCATTGAATTTTTATGGCATGGTCTATTGAGTTGGCTTATGAAATATATTTTATTAATATCCTGGAATGTATTGAAACTGATACAAGTCAAACAACTGCTCATTTATTAAACTGTTTAAATGTCACTTTTGTACAAGAGTAATAATACAGGAAATATGTTCGTTGAGAAGACATCGGTAGGCCACGGGTACTCAAAATATTAGTTATCTTGGAAAAATATATTATGGAAATAAAAGTCCAATTATGTCATTTATTGCATTAAATAAATCTATATTGACTAACATAACTGTTGTACACCACCAGATGCACTTTCTTTTAAACTTTTTAATTCTCTGGGATTGATCTCCAGGGTGCAGTGGAGAAACACACCTGGGCTTTTGGGGTAGCTTTTTGGGGGACACAGGGGTCATTGGGAACCTGGTGCTCAGTGATCCTGTGATGGGCGAGGCTGTCCTGGGACACGGAAGGTCTTCAAGATGTGTCTTCCTAAGGGCATCTCTTTGGGGACATCTCAGAGGCTGGAGCTTGGACCACAGTTCGTGCAGGAGCACGGACAGCACCATCCTCCATTTGCTCATCCTTCTGATGCGTACTGGGAGGGTGCATGCTGGGAGCCAGTTTCGCACTGTGGGAACACCATGGTGCACCAGACAGGTGAAGACCCTGCTCCCATAGCGGTGACATGCTAGCGAGGAGACCAAAGACAAGTGAGATCATTCTGAATAGTGAGTGCCACAAAGGGAAGAGAGCGGGCTGCTGGGGGTGGGGGTGCTGGGGGCAGGTTCCTTTCCCTGGGAAAGGCAGGGAGAATGGTGAGAAGGAGAAAGCCAGGTGAAAGAGCTGGGAGTGATGACCTCTGGGCAGAGGAAAGCTCGGGTGCAAAGGCATTGAGGTCAAAGCCAGACTGGCTTGTTCACAGGGTGCAGGGACTGCTGGAGGGGCAGGAGAGCGTGACGGAGAGGCAGGCAGGCAGGAGGCCACGAATAGCTGGGCAGTCTGAGAAGGGACGTTGGGGGTGAAGTGCATGTGTGATTGGAAGCCACTGGAGAAAGGGGGCCAGGGTGACCCTGAGGAATCAGGAAGGAGGCACGTTTTGTCGTGAAGGACATCACAGTGGGTGGCAGAGGATGTTGTAGAGGTCAAGTTGCCAGGGTAGACCAATGGCTTGGATGCTGCCAGTGAGGGAGAGAGGAGCCAAGGGCAATCCCAGTGTGTGGGCTGAGCTGGTGGGGACACAGGAGGTTTTGGAGTTAGAGAGATACACGTTGGATGGTTTCAAGGTTAAGCCTTGCCCTCTTGCTGTGTAGCCTTGGGCAGTTCACACGGCCTCTCCAGTTTTAACTGGATGCTTAGTGATGCCCACTTTAGGGGACTTCAGGAGGGAGAATGAGGGTCACATGCTAAGCCCTGAATGCCCATGAACTATAACATCAGTGCAAATACTGTGGCTACTAGGTGGTGACCTGGTGAGGTGGCCCAGAGTGGCGATAACAGCACAGATTTAGGAATCAGACAGACCTGGGTTCATATCAGTTATGTTGATACCTTGTGTGAACTCAGGGAGTCTAGAGGTTTGGCTAAGTGACTCAACAGTTCCACATCCTGGGGTAAAAAAGACATGCCCTTACCCTTCGGGGATGTTGTTTATTGTGTCAATTTAAAAAGTTTAAAAGGTTAACTGTGTGACTCAGCAGAGAGCCAAGGTGCTTACTTTATATTCTCCCTGAGCTGGTGCAAGAGGAAGGCATGCCGAGGCTGTGGGTATAGAGGACCACCCTTGATGATCCCCCCAGAGTGGGTAGGCTACATAAAAAGAAATTAAAAAAGGACTGGCTACTGGTTCTTTGAAAGAGCTCCAGTCTTCGCCTTCAGCTTGGTCATCTCTGGGCTTCTGGTACAGCCTGTTTGGCTTCCACCTGGGACTCTTCCGCTTTCTGGTGTAGGCTCTCCGGCCTTTGTCATAGATTCTTCAACTTTCCGTCACAGACCCATCAACCTCCTGATACAGACTTGCACAGGCACTGCAGTGAGCTCCAGGCCTGGGGCTGGGCTCTTCAATGCCCACCGCGCAGAACATCGTACTTCTTTGCGATGGAAACCTGGCAGGCAGTCTACCACTCTCAGCCTGGGTCCCCAGTTGGCAAATGGGAGGGCTGGAGTGACAATGGCTGGGTGTCTGCCTGGTTTGTGGGCTTGAGAAAAATATTCAGTGACTTCCAGACTCAGAGCCTGGTCTCCTTCAAGTGCTAGGAGTGATTGGAATTATCACCCCAATTTCAACTCACTCTTCCAAATCCCAGAGAATAGCAACTCCTCCAGAAGCTGCCTCGTGCTGCGGAGGGCCTGACAAGTGGCTAGTCACAGAGGGAAGTGGGGTCCTCGGTCCCCTCCCAGTGCCTTGCTAACTTGCTGTGTGACCCTGGGTGAGCTCCTCACCTTCTCTGGTCGCGGTTGGCTGACGTGTGAACTGAAGAGGCTGGTCTGGTTAATCCCTAAGGTCTTTTTCAGAGCCTTAAAAGATTGATGATTATGAAGGTCTGTGATTAGTGAGAAACCATCTGCCCTAGGCAAAGACCAGACCCTCCCTCAACCTGTCCCGGGGAAATGAAACAATAAGCAGACAGCTTAGTAAATTGCCATTGCACAGGCCTTAAAAACGAATATCTGCTTTTGTATCAGCCTTGATTGAAATTCTTATGCGATGGCGGCTGTCCCTGCCATCAATGCCTTAATTAGAAATTAGGACAGTCACATTGGCATAAATTAAATCAGACTAAAGATGATTAACAAAGTAATGCAAGAAATCATTAAATTAAACCATTGTGCCAAGTTCTCTGCTGATCTATCACAAATTTGGGCTGCTAATGAGGTCTTAATTAGTAAGTTAGGTTGAAATAATTCATGTCATTCACTTCAAAGACAGCCCTCTCTCCTTCTTCCTGGGAGTCCTCCCCCTGCTTTCTGCACCCAGATTCGTCAGAGGACTGCGGATGGAGTTGGGTGGACACCATCAGTAAATCGCAGCACCCTGCTGAAGACCCAGACCCTCTGGGCCCCCTGTGCATGTGTTGGGAGGCCACAGTGATGTCACAATGGGCCAAGGGGGGTGAGGAGCACAAAGTCCTAAAGTGACAGAATGGCAGGAGGAAGAGGAACAGTTCTGAATTCACCCTCTCAGGGCACAGATCGGACCGGTGAGGGCTGGAGAGAGGAGGAGTCACAGAGTGTGCATGGGGCCTTGGTGTCCCAGTAAGGTTCCATTTTTCTTTCTATTCTTTTGTGGTGTTCTATTCTTTGTTCAGAACAAGCGTAGTATTCAGTAAAGTAGATCTGATCATGCTCTCCTGTTGGAGGGAGTGAAGGCTTAGAGAGCTGAATTGACTCGCCCAGGGTCTACAGCCAGGCAGAGCTGGAATCTGACTGTGACTTCAGCGTCTGAATGCTTCTTTGCTGTGCTGTCCTCCTTCACCCTGGTGTAGGAGTTTGCTGGAGGAGGTACGAGGCAGGGGCAGACCAACCTCAGAGAAAAAAAATACTGACCCTGCCTGATTTTACAACAGGGTAGGCCTGGTGGAACAGTGATGGCTTTGGAGTCAGAAAGACCTGACTCCTGGATTTGCAAACTCTACCCTTCATGGTCTTTAACCAATGGATTCCCTTTAGAGCCTCAGTTTTCTTGTCTGAATATGGGAACAATGACTACTTCCCTGAGTGGAATCTGTGAGGGCCCAGTGAGGTCATGTGAGAAATGCACCTTTTGTGAGTAGATGTTTCATAAGGACTCCCTTTCCCCACCTTCTCAGTGGCGGTCACCTAACTCAGCTAGCTTTTGCTGTGTAACAAATTGCATGAAACTCAGTGGTTTCAACAAAGAACGATTTGTTTCGCTCAGCATTCTGTGGCCATTGATTGAGCTGGGTTCAGCCAGGTGGTTCTTCTGCAGGTCAGACCTGGCTGTCAGTGAGTGGCTGGTCAGCAGGTGACCCCGTTGTTGCAGGCTGGCTGCAGGCTGGGGGATAAGAGTGACAGGGCCACATGTCTCCTGCCATCTAACAGGCTGGAGTGGGTGTCAGGTAGAAACAGGTAGAAAGTGCCAGCCCCAGGCCCAGTGCATCTCCAGCTCTCTCCTCTGTCACATTTACTAACTTTTCCTGGTTGTTGTAGCTTGGATAATGCTTCCTCCCCAACCTGAAAATGCCCATGTCCTGATCCCTGGAACCTGTGCATATTCCCTTTCACGTCCATGGGGCTTTGCAGCTGGGATTAAGTTCAGGACCGTGAGATGGGAGATTATCCTGGATTAGGGGGTGTGCCCCTGAGGAGAGCACAAGTGCTTCTAAGAAGAAGGCAGCTGGGTACATAGGACAGGAGATCTGATTGATGCTGGGACAGGGGTTGGGAAAAGGGTTCTGAAGATGGAGGGAGTGGCTCCAAGCCACAGAATGAGGGCAGCTCCTCGTCTCTGAAAGCAACAGGGAAACACATTCTCCCGTGGAGCCTCTAGGAGGAGCTGGCCCTGGGCCACCCTTGCCCTCGCCTTGAAGACTTATTCTGAGCCTCTAGGCACAAGAAGTGAGAATAAATTTGTGCTGCTTTTAAGCCATTACGTTTGCATGGCTTTTTCTTTTTATGGCAATCCTGGAGGTTAATTCCAGTGCTTTCCCACTGAGCTACATTGCCAACCCTTGTTATATTTTTTATTTTGATGCAGGGTCTAAGTCACGGAGTTGCCCAGGTGGGGCTTGAGTTTGCCGTCCTCCTCCATCAGCCTTCCCAGAATCCTGGGATTATAGGTGTGTTTCCCTGTGCCACTTGTTGCAGCAGCTACAGGAAACGTGGCCAAAGCAAGCTGCCCAGCCAAGGACCAACTGAAATGGGTGGTAAAACACACCCTGACAAAGCTGAGTTCCAGCCATGGGAAGCACATCCTGCCTTTGGAGAGAGAAGGAGCCACAGAGGCAGTTTGCACTTTGCAAGAAGTGTGCATGTTTGATGGGAAGAGTTTTGGGTCGTATTTTGCAATCTACCGCGTCTGTGAATACTTCACTCCAGGGATTAAATGAGGATGCCGATGATAATAACAGTAGTGTATATTTTATATTTAGTGATCAATAGCTAGGAGCTAGGCAGTGCCAAACAAACGGAGGCCTTGTTTCTTTTTTATTATAGTAAGATGCGTGCAATTACCAAAGTCACCATTTTAATCATTTTTTAGGTGTGCAGTCCAGTGGCATTATGTGCATGGATAATGTTGTGCAAGCATCGCTGCTGTCCATTTGAAGGATTTTTATTTTCCAAACAGAAGTTTTGTGCTCACCAAATATGAGCTCTGCAGCTGCTGGTGACTTCTATTCCATCTTCTGAATCTGGGAACCAGTCTATCCTAGGTACTCTATTGTATTAGTCATCTTTCCTGTCCCTGAGGTGAAGTACCTGAACCTGAAATGTAAAGGAGAGATTAACTTGGCTCACAGTTTTGGAGTGTTCAGTCTATGGTCAGCTCCAAAGCAGAAGCATCGTGGAGGACAGTTGCTCATTGTATGGTGGCTGGAACAGAGAGCAGAGAAGTAGCCAGGAGAGACAGAGGGGGTGGGCAGGGGCAAGAGCCATCCTTCCTGGTTATGCCCCCCAGGGACTCCTCCAACAAGGCTCTGCCTCCTCAGTGACCCCCTGCTTCGATTGCCTTCTGAGAGCCCTATCATTGAACATGTGAGACATTTGGGGGTCATTTTAGACCTAAACCACAGCAGCCATGTAGGTGGATCCTACCACATTTGTGCTTTTGCGTCTCACTTCTTGCCCTTGGCCCAGTCAATGTCCTCCATCAGTGTTGCGGCAGGTGTTAGAAATGAACCCTCACAGGAAGACCATGAGGCCACTGGGGCTCAGAGAGGTGCAGTTGGACATCCAAGCCCACACAGCTGTTAACTAAGGTGGGGGAGGCCTGGACTCAGATCTGCTAGGCTCTGGGCAGGCATGTTGGCCCCTGTCTACTCCCATCCTGTGTCCCACGGCCTGTGCTGGGCCTCCCAGCTGCAATGCCTACAGCTTGACCACAGCTTGATAAATGTTCCCTCCCCCACCGGCCATCCATTATTTCTTGCAGCCGAGATGGCTCCCCACCCTACCAGGGCCGACAGCATCACTTTTTCATTGATTCTGCTTCAATTAATTAAAAAATCCATTCAACCACTCCACAGCTTGATAGACTTTGAGGATTCAGAAAAAAAAATAAATAAATTAATCCCGGGACAATAGGGGTGTCAGGGAGGAGGCAGGGGATGGGAGGTGAGCAGAGAGGGAGGCTACTTAGCAGGATCGGCTTTGTGGAGCTATAGCACAAAGTCCACAGACTCCCTCAGGAAGAGCAGAGCTCTGGACAGGATGGCCATGTTGCTCTTCATATCTTAATTATAGGTACACTTTAGTGATGCTTATTCCACACGTGATGGACATTTCATGCGAGTTTTACATGCATTTTCTTATTAACCCTTTGGAGTAGCACTGTATGCTAGTAGAGGAAAATGAGGCTCAGAAAGGTTGCTTAATTTTTCTGAGGTCACACAGCAAGAATTTGTTGGGGAAGAACCTTCCTAGTCCTTCTGTGTCCTTCTTTCAGTCTGCATTTTCTGACTTGCCTGTATAGGCTCATGAGAGAGAAGGGGATGGAGCAGGGCTCTGTGCTCTGAAGAGTGTCTGGGGCATTTTCCGTGAGAGGAAGGACTTGGATGTGGCGCTTCTGGGATACCCTCAGGAGCTGGAGAGCACCTTACCAGGTCACTCGCTGCTATGACTTTCAAGCCGCCTTTAACCTGTGAAAGCCAGTGTGGAAGTAAGATTCATTACGTAGTTTCATTAAATGTTAAAAAAAAAGATACAACAAGTAAACAAAGATGCAGAGTGGTGTGGATACTAATGAGAAGAATACAGTCAGTGGCCCTGGGGGCCAGAGCTGACATGCAGCGGTTTTCTAGAGCTGAGGGTCACACAGTCGGGAGACTGAGAAGCTGAATAAGCCACCAGCTTGAACTTAGCCATTGTAGGAATACTTACATCCCAGGACTGACAGCCGCTCCACATGACCACTCCCTCAGTCTGAGAATTGGTGTCCCACACACCACCAGTGGTCACCATGTAGCAAACATGTGCCAAGTGACAGGCACTGTGCTAAGCACTTTAGAAAAAAATAATGTTCTAATTTAAACCACTGCATGGGGGGCGTGGTGTTATTAATATACCCATCTCTCAGATGGGAACATTGAGGCTTGGAGAGATGTGTGCATCTGTCTCAGTCTCTCGCCTCATCACTGAGACACAATGGGCAGCACTCACAACTTAAAGGAGAGAGGTTTATTTGGGCTCACATTTTCAGCTCATCGTTGGCTGGTTGCAGGGCAGGAAGGGGATGGTGGAAGGGTCTGGTGGAGGAAAACTGCTCATATCACAGCAGCCAGGAAGCAGGGTGAAAAGGGAGGAGCTGGGGAGGAAGCTAGGTCCTTCCAGGCCACGCCCACAGTGACTGTCTCTTCTGCTCATGTCTCACCTCCTAACAGCACATTTATCCACGGCTGAGTACCTCATCCTCACCATCCAATCACCTTGTAAAAGCCTCAGCTTTGACTGCACAAGAGTTTGGGGGACACTCTAGATCTAAACCGTAACAGTGGCCACTTATGCAAAATGACCAGCTGGTTAATGTTCCTTGGCGCCTGTCTCACTCCACTCCCTCAGTGTCTCGAGGTCCGCAGCGTGGTTTGGAGACACCGTGGAGTCCCAGCAAGGAGAATGAGCTTGCTCAGGACCACAAAGGTAACACAGTGAGCTGGGTGGAAGACTATGACCAGGATCCTGTCTTCTGGCCCACTTGGAATTCCATCTAGGTTAGCAGGTGGCAGGTGGAGGTGAGAGTAAAGAGTAGTGGGGACTGTTACAATTTTCCCGTCCTTGGAAGATCTGGCCTTGGGGTACAATGACCTCTCTGCTGTGTACCTGGGGGTGCAGGGAGATGAGTCAGCTAGACAGCAGCAAGCCTTTAGCTCGCCTGGGAGGATGGGCAGCAGATATCCTCTACAGCCGTGTGTCACGCCCATTCTGTTTGACAGTGGGCTTCTCCCTGGCCAGAGAGGCCGGGCTCTGGCTCCTGAAAAGGCACACAGGGATGGAGGGATAAGGCCTGGCTTCAGCAGCGTGGGCTGCCTGCTTGCTCAGCCCTGTGAGCTGCAGAAGAGCAAAAGCAAGAGCCAGGGAGGGGCCCCAGCCAAGTCCGCTTCCTGCCCTCTGCCCCTGCCTCTCTCATAAAACTTTGTGAGCAGGGTAGACGCTGGGCAGGAGCCACAAGCCTTTGGGATCAGGTGGCCCAGCCTAGAGGTCACAGAGGGAGCAGAAGGTCCTTTGGGGTCTTTTGCAGTTGATTCCATGGGTCAGGATGCTTTACCCTGCTCCCAGAGCCAGGACAGCAGGAGGAGACTTGTACCCACAGAGGTCCCAGGCGGCAGACCATTATGCCCTCCAGAAGCCTCTCCTGAGCCTTCTGCTGGGGTGAGATTGTCCCAGGCCACGGCCAGAAGCTCATGACCAGGGAAGCTCATCTATAAGGGCTGATCAAAAAATCCAGTGTGTGTTTAAATAAACAAATTTGTTCTAGTAAAAGACACATTGTCATTAATCCCCATCTAAATACTACCCCTCACTTTGAACACACTTGTCCCATCATGCTTGCCACTTTCTGAAGCAGTTCTGAAAATTCTCTTTCATGTCTTCATACCATGTGATAAAAAATACAGTGAATGTGCTCACCAAGTGCCATCCACTGGAAGACAGCCTTGTAGAAATAGTTCAGTGTGTCCTCACCCACCTTTTCCTCCAGGTCTGGCATTGCACAACTTCTGCCTTTTCCCCAAAGTCAAAATGGCCATAAAAGGGGAATTTTTGGAATCAAATCATATCATGCCAGAAAATGGCACCCAAGACATTCATGAAAGAGGACTTCTCGACCTGCTTCAGAAGGGGGCAAGAATGATGGGATAAGTTCATTGAGTCGAGGGGAGATGTTCCGAGGGGGGTTATTGGCCACTGTGGCTTTTACTGTAAGAAGTTTTAAAATGTAAACATCCCCTGTATTTTCCCATCACATCTCTCCTGCACAGCAAGTGAGACATGATCTTCGGAATGCATCGTTAAGCCATGCTGTCACTATGCATGTCCAGATTCTGCTTCCACAAACTTAGCTAGTACAGGTGGTCGCTGCCGTGGCCTCTCTCTGCATGCAGAAGAGATAAACACGACCGTAGGAGCAGAAGGTCGCTGCTGGTGTAAGAAGACAGTTTCAAATAAGCACAAATACACTGTAAAATAATGATCACAGGTATGGTACAGTACGTATGTAAGCCAGTTATGTAATCATTCATTATCATCAAATATTACGTACTGTACGCTGTGTGACTGTGTGTGCCACACTCTTACACGACTGGGCGCACAGTAGGTCTGTTCACACAAGCATCACCACAATGCATCAGTCATACGTTGAGCTACGATGTGTTGACCTCACCAGACAGTAGGTTTTCAGCTCCGTTATCATGTCTGGGACCACCACTTGCATCACTGGCCACTATGCTGCTACCTGGGGCGTCACCCTGTACCAAATATGAGTGAGATGGTGCCAGTCCCTCATCACGTCTCCTCAGAGAATGCTTCCCATTGTACAGAAGGGGCAACGAAGCCTCACTACGGGCAAGCATCCTGCCTGAGTTCACACACTCAGGAAGTGGCTGGACTCAGAATAGATGATTTTTTTTATTGTTGAATTTTAGTTTTCTGGAGAACTTTTTTCCCTAAAAAATGGATAACTAAACAGTCTACCTTCGTATGTAATTTTGTTTTTTTGTAGCCTGATTGAAGGAAGTAAAATAGGAACAGATAAAATTAGTTTTATTAGTATATTTAATTTCACCAAAGCATCAAAATGCTCATTGCAATATAGAATTGATAAGGAAGCTTAGCAAGGAGAGTTTTTTATTTAAAGAGAAAAGAAAAGAAAACAATAACATCCTCTCTCTTGCCTGTGTTCTCCTGTCTTCCATCTGCAACTGCTGGGTCTTTGGCTAAGCTGTGAGATTATAATAACACTCACTGCTTCTTCTGGGCAGGTTCCAAGCTGTGGGGCATGAAGTGAGTCATTAAGGATTGCTGCAGCCTGTGACAGGAAGTGTTACTGTCCCCATTTTGCAGATGAGGAAACTGAGGCTCAGAGAAGGTAAAGTACTGGCCTAGACCACACAGCTTGTATGTGTCACAGACAAGAGATGAACCCAGGCTCTTTGAAGCCACACCTGCCAACTGTGGTCCCTATTCACTTCCTCCTTTGATCCTCCCTCTGTATCTGTCATCCCGCTATCACCTCATGGAGCCAAAAGTTTCAGGAAGAGGCTGCTTTGTGTCTTCTAGCCTGTCAGAAGCCTGGGCCAGACAGATATCTGCTTTGGAGAAGGGTCTGTCTAGGTCTTTTTCCTACTTGGTCATTGGATCAGTTGGTTCTTTCTTTCTTTCTTTCTTTCTTTCTTTCTTTCTTTCTTTCTTTCTTTCTCTTTTCCTTTCTTTCTCTTTTCCTTTCTTTCTATTTCTTTCTTTCTTTTTCTTTCTTTCTTTTTCTTTCTTTCTTTCTTTCTTTCTTTCTTTCTTTCTTTCTTTCTTTCTTTCTCTTTTCCTTTCTCTTTTTCTTTCTTTCTTTCTATTTCTTTCTTTTCTTTCTTTCTTTCTTTCTTTCTTTCTTTCTTTCTTTCTTTCTTTCTATTACTGAGTTGTATGAATTCCTAATATGTCTTAGATATGAATCCCTTATTCAGAAACCTATGCTATAGCTGGAGCCTGTAGCTCATATAGTTGCATTGCATTCTTAAAATCTACAAAGAGGGCGGGGCCAGTGTTGAATGTCCCTGCCAGTAAAACAGGGTCACAGTGGGGTGGGGGTTGGGAGGCGATAGCTATGCTTGACCCTTGTAGTGGCGATGGCTTCATGGGACCATAATTATTGCCCGAGTCATCCAGGTGTGCCTTACATATGTGTAGCTTTTTGTAGGCTAGTCACACTTCAATAAAGTGACTAGAATATATAAAATTAGAACAATTTTAAAATAAAAACATACACAAATAAATGCATTACATATACAGAAGAGGAGGTGAGGAGCAGGAGAGGGAGAAGGAGGAGGAGGAGAAGGTGGAGGGGAGGAAGGAGAGAGAAGAGGTGGAGGAGAAGGAAGGGGAGGAGGACGGGCCTGCTCTGGCTTCCTGGGTGGTTGTGGTGATGTTGTCTGTGTGAGGATTCTCAGGCCTGTGCTATGCTCCAGCTGGGACACTCCTTGGGAGTCAGTGTGATGTGCGTTTGCTGCTGTGTGTCCTGGGCAGGTCAGCTGTGCCTCTCTGGGCCACAGTCTCCTTGTATCTGGCCACATCCCTGCTCCCATTGTATTGTACAGGATCCAGGAGAGGAGAGTGCCAGGCAAGAGCCTGTTGCCGATGTGGGGTGGTTGCTGGCTGGCAGCTCCTTTCCCCCCATTCTCATGTTTTGAATTAGAAAACTGAGGCCAGAGAGACTGGGAGACTTGTCTGTGATCCCCAGAGTAGGTGACAGGGTTAGGACAGGCTGGAGGCCTCCCAGACTCAAGGACTTTATTTCTCCCAGACTCCCCTACCTCTGACATCTGGGGTTAAAAAGCATCCTTTGGGTCAGAGCCAGACCACCAACTCACGACACCCACCTGTGTATCGCAGCCTCGCCTCTTGGCTGGGCTTCTGCTCTGAGGACCACAGTCCCTGCTCTCAGCAGGTGAGATGTTGGGCAGCAGGTGACAGATGCCACCTGTCAGAGAAAGACTTTGGCCGAGTGAGCTCAAGAGGCAGATGTGAAGGGGCTCACAGGAGCCCTCGCCTGCTCTCCTGCAGGGGCTGAGAGGGGTCAGACACCTGCTGTCCTCGCAGGAGAAACAGGTAGCATCACTTGGTAGGTGACATCACTCCCTCGAACTGCGTCAAATGTACTGACAGAGTGGCAGTTCCATGTGAAGTCTGAAGGCAGATTAGTGCTTTAGATTCCAAGGATTTTATTCTAAGGGACTTAGCTTCACCCAAGAGGCATCTCCTGAAATCCTACCATTCATTCATTCACTCATTCATTCATTCATTCTTCACTTTGCCGTCCAGGCAGTATTTGTGGTTACTGATGAAAGACCAGAGCTCATGCTCATTTGTGAGAATTTACAGATAAATAAAACTTGGGCCCAGCCTTCAAAGTGCTCTTATCTGCACCGAAGAACAAACATAATACTAGAGGTTAATTACCACTGTATTAGTTTTTTATTTATTTATTTTAAACCAGAAATGTGTACAAAGAACTGTGGCAATGAAGGAGTGGAGAGAAACTGTCTTAGCTGAGGAGCCATTTGGTCTGGGCTCTGAGGGTGGAGTAGGAGGGTGTTGATTAGGCAGGAAAGGGTCTTTTAGGCAGTGAGGATACCATGTGTGAGGTAGAAAAGGAGGAGGCGTCAGAGTTAAGGGCACTGGTGCCTGCCGCTGGTGGCTTAAATTCAAGACCCATATTTCACCTGCTCTGTGCTCATGAGAAGATGCCACATGCCCAAGAAGAGGGCATGATGGCTATAACACCAGCTGACAGGACAGCTCTGCGCACCCAGTGACGAGGAGGGCAGGAGGTGCCCAGGAAGGGAATTTGCTTTGTTCCTCCCCGCCACTCGAATCAGTAGCTCTGAAGCTTCTGTCCCCTCACCCCACCCCCCGGGACAATGACTCTGACCCTGTTGGTTTTATTTCTAGCTTGAGGAGGATCAGGGACAAAGCGAACCCTCTTATTCCTGGACTGCTCATAAATTATGGGGAGAAGGGAATATTTTAATACAAACCAAAGAATCTCATGTACAAAGAGCTGCTCTGAGAGCTGTTCTCTGCCTCCCCCTTCCTATTCCCCTGGTGTTTGGAGCAGAGAAGCCTCCTCGGGGAATTTATAACAAGTAGAATATTTAAGGGTAGGGAGCCAGAGGTCTCTCTGGCTTTCTCTTTTCAGGGAAGTCACCTCGGAGTGTCTCATACGTGCCTGAGTGACATGAAAGGCAGGCTGTGCACAGAGAAGAGGGGAATATGCCAAGAATTGTCAATTATGCAAAAAAAATTGCTTGTCCAAAAGAGTGATGTGTCTGCCTTTATTCCCCAGATGGAGCTCAGCATTCGGGCCTGGGCCTCTGCCAGGGTGTGAGGTTGGCTGAGGGTGTCTGTGTTGTGTGGCTGCTCCAGCTGACCTGCAGGACAGGTCACTCAGTCAGCTGGGGGTCACTTTTCATCAGCTCCATTAGGGACAGTCTCGGGACAAGTGCTTTGAACGACTCCAGGAGACTCTGCTGTTCGGACTTCTCCAGTTGGGTAAAAATTTCCAGAAGAAACCTGGATTGGTAACAGTTTATAATGGGACAAATCTTGGTGTAACAAATGTATCAGTTATCTATTAGCAGGAGGATGCTGTGTAACAAACAGCAACAATAACCTTGGGAACATTTGCCCTTGGGAGGAGGTAGGGGGCAAAAGCTCCTGGCTGGTTTTTTCTTCTTCTTCTTTTTTTTTTTTTTGGACTCAGAGGTCAGCTGGATGGTTCTGATGCAGGCCAGGCTTAGCTGGTCCCAGAGGGTGGTGCAGGCAAGCTGGTGAGTTGGTGAGTCCTGACTAGTTTAGGATGATTGTCACCTGTTCTGTGTCTGACTAGCTGTTGGCTGGGGTGATAGAGGTGGCAGAGCCCTGTGTCTGTAGCCCTGCAGCAAGGTTGCTTGGTTGGCTAGCATGGGGCCTGGGAGAACCCAAAAGGGAAAGTGAAAGGTACTAGGTTTCTTAAGGGCCAGGCTCAGATTTGGTATGACGTCACTTCTGCCACATTCTGTTGGCTAAAACAGATCCTATAGCAGCCGGATTCTGGAGGTGGGGAAGCATCTTGCCTCCCTCCCTGTATTGGGGACCTTAAAAGTCACATGGCCATGGGCATGGACACAGGGAGGGCAGAGGTTTGGGCCTGTTTTTTCACTCTATTGCAGTAGGTGCACAGAAGTAATTAGTTTCACAGACAAGCATTATGGGCATCTGTGTCCGTCCCTGTGCTGGGTGTTGGCACAACGGGAGACTGGGAGACAGTCCAGCCCTGAGGATGTGAAATAGATAAGGATGGCGGAGGGGGTGAGGCTCAGCGCTTGAGCTCTTTCCTAGTATTCCTGAGGCCCTGGATCCCAGCCCCAGCACCCAAACAAAACAAAACAAGCCACTGCTGAGGTCTGAATCCCACCACCTGAGCAGGCTCTTGTGGGGGTAAGGGCGGAGCCAGGAGGCGTGATAAGGGAAGAGGTGAGTGAGGCTGCCTGAGGCTTGGGAAGGGGCAGAGGCGGTGTGGTCACGGTGGAAGGCGGCAGCTAGGGGGCAGACTCAGGCAGGGGAAGACGAGCCAGGAAGCGGTGACCCTGAGGGTGAGACCTCTGACCTGGCTCTGAGAGCAGAGGCCTGGAAGGTTCAGGAGCAGAGTGATGCCACCCTGTGAAAGCATACTGCAGGTTGGAACAAAGGGAGCAGAGGACAGGTCTGGGGGTGTAAGTGAGCTGACAGGGCTTCAGGTAATTGTGAAGCTCAGCTGGCAAGGGTTTGGGGGTATTCTGCAAAAGAGGCAAAAAGGAAATGAGAACATCAACAAGAGCAACAGTAACAGCAACAACAGCAACAATAACAGCAGCAACAACAACAGCAACAACAGCAATGATAGCTCTCTGCTCATCTACCTGCTCTGGATACTGAGCACTGCCTCTGAGCTACATCTTGGGCTGGGAGCTGGGGCTGAACACCGGGGGCTCTTGCTGCTCCCGAAGACCTGCCCAGGTCTCAGAGATGCACTTCAGCTCCTCAGCTCTTCAGAGTCTGAAGAAAGGTTCAGAGCAGCTCCCCGTGTCATCCCCCAGCCCCACTCTGGCCCTGTGTATCCCACCAGCTGCTCCATTTCCCTATTGGCAATTAGGCACCCCTAAAGTTCTCATGGATATCTCTGGTCACTTGTGCAGTATCTGTTCCCTCATCATCCTAGGTGAGGGTCCCCCTGGGATGCTGAACTCCGTCAGAGTGGACACCACGTTATTTTTGCCTCTTGGTCTCTACTTTCTTAGACTCCACACCTTGGCGTAACAGGCGTACAAATTCTCTCGGCTGAGTCATTGGCCAGCCAGC